AATACACCTATGGCGAACTTCTTGTCATCAATGCTGGTAGTTAATTCTTCCACAAGGTCAATTAGAGCCAAAGATGTAGATCGATTTGGTTTAAAACCATATTGACTATCAGTTAAGATCTCATACTTATCAACAAAACTGTCCAATCTGATGGCAAATATCCAAAATTTTAGAAAATTGGGGAAGCAATGAAATTGGCCTGTAGTTAATATAAAGATTCTGCTCACCAGCTTTATATATGGGAACGACTTTGGCTATTTTCAAAATTCATTAAGGAATCCAGCACTTGTTTTTTTCCTTGTAATAATTGAATTTAAAATATTCCAAGTGCCCTTTATGTTATTTTTATTGATTTCCAACAATTTGCTATAAAAATCTTTCTTACATTTTCTTAAAATATCCGTTAGTTTATTTTTATATATCTTATATTTAATTTCTTTCTCCTCGGTTCTGTGCTTAATAAAGTCTTTATATAAATTATTCTTTTTTTTGCAGGCATTCAACAGACCCCCCGTAAACCAGGGGTTATCTGGACGTTTTGATGTTTTCTTTGGTTGCTGGATTGGACAGTTTTTATGATATAAATTTAAAAAAAATTTAAGGAATACATTATAAGCTGAATCAACATCCTCCTTTTCATAAACATTCCTCCAGTCTTGAGCTAACAGATCATTTCTAAATCTCTTCAAGGTGTCATCCGTTCTTAATCTCCTCTGCATGTTTATTTTGCTGCTGTCTAAATTCTTGTGTTTACATTCGTGGATAACAAACACCAGTAGATGGTCTGTGATATCGTCTATTAATAATCCACTTTCTAAATTACCTGTCATGTTATTAGTAAGAATATTGTCTATTACTGTTGCCGAGTGGGTGGTAATTCTACTTGGTTTGGTTATACAAGGATATAGGCCCTTACTGTACATTGCATCTATAAATTCCTCTATTGCAGGTGATTTATTTGGATTTAGGAAGTCTATATTATAGTCCCCACATAAAAAGGCAACCTTCTGCTCGGTGTTTGAAACCATGGCCTCAAATACATCTTTAAAGCTTTCAATGTTAGAGTTGGGTGCTCTATAGACACAGCTAATAATGACATTCCTCATTTTACCCGTATCAATTTCAACAGTAATACATTCACATATGTCATCAATAACAGTCATCATACTCTCTACAATCTTATACTTTAACTTGCTGTCCACATACAGTGCGACTCCTTCACCCTTTTTATTTGCTCTGTTCACAAAATTGAAATTATAGCCGTCTAATTCAAAATCGGTCCCTTTGTCATGACTAAGCCAGCTCTCAGAGATAGCAATTATATTAAATTGCATGGTGTACTGCTGTAAATATTCTCTGATCTTATTAAAATTTGCGTACAGACTCCTACTGTTGAAGTGTATGATTGATATGCCTTGCTCTAATTTGAATTTCTCCTTAAATTGGTTTTCAGTATAATAACAATTACTGGTCACATAGTCAAAAAAATTACTTTCTGGGACTATATCTATATCTTGTTCCTGCATTGTAACTGTTCAGTATGGTCGCACCCAGAGCAGTGGATTAAACAGAGTGGCGACACTCCCATAGGCATACGCTGTACAGCCCGGCGGACCCCACTTCTGGGTTTGGAACTCTTAAAGGGGACCTGCCATAAAAATGTAATTTTTGTTTTTTTTTTGTGTCAGATAAGGTCCATATTATGTTCATCTTATGTTGTAAATGTGAAAACAAACCGTTACATCGTTTGCATTCTGTAAAGGTTTAAAATAAAGGAACGAGTAAACCAGGCCAATTGAAAAAGCAGGTCCATCTGACGTTGCGTTGACATTGCTCATTATTATTCACGAGCGCATCCTCGGTGAGCCGTGCCCACTCTCTCGTTCTCGTACTCAGTCACAGCCAGAGCGAGACCCAGCTACCACTGTATCCGCTATGGGTCTCTTCCAAGCCACCGGTGTTTCCTTCGGTTCACTGCCGGGAAAATGAACTTAAAGCTGGACAGAATGAATGAGAAAACACCGCTGGAGATCTCCGGCTTCTTCCTCAACTTCCACCTCCTCTTCGGACTCGGGGTCTAAAATATATGGTTTAATACCTGCCGTTTTTAGCCTTTAGCATAAGGTGACCAGACGTCCCCGATTTCCGGGGACAGTCCCCGTATTGGATGACCTGTCCCCGGCAAAAGCTGTCCCCGAAAATGTCCCCGATTTAAGCGTTTCATGAATGAGAGCAAAAATGTTTCGTGTGGGCTCGAACAACGGCTATTACAGTAGCCGAATAGGTAGGAAGCACAAGTAAGCAGTCCTGAACAACAGTTCTTACGGGGGTTATTACAAGGGGCATGCGCTGCTACTAAATAGTACCGAGATTTTGTCTGTGATCACACAGCCCCTGCAGCCCCTGCAGCGCCGCCGCCGCACTGAATATCCCCGGATATCATTACAGACATCTGGGCACCTTACTTTAGCACACATTAGCATATGCTATTAGCATTAGCATCATAACAATGGATAAACCGAAATCCGAACCTCCACTGCTGAGCCAATCAGAGCACAGCAGGCTTCACAGCAGCGATCCAATCAGAGCAAAGCTCATTACCATAAATGTTAATGAGCCAAAACCAGTTGGTTTTCCTGTAAGGTTTTTTAGGCATACTAAAACAAACCATCAAAGAACTTTTCAGCTAAAATTATGTTGCAAAAATGGGTATGAAATTTTGGTGGCAGGTCCCCTTTAATAGTTCAAACATGACCCCCTGTCACGTCGGACGCCGTTCGCTTCTATGGCCACAAGGCAGGCACTCCGCAAGGTTAAATGATAAAATATCAACAAGTTTAATGCCAATACGTGTGTTATTGATATCGAGGGGACCCTTTTATATGTAAAAATATATATCCCTAATGTAATTACATTTTTTTAGTCAGGAATTGGGATCGATTTTTTTAGCCACGGCTTGCTCTCACACTCCCCGAGGTAAAATATTGTATCAACTAATTTAATGCCAATACGTGTGAAAATGGTATCGAGGGACCCCTTTATATGTAAAATGATTTTAATTTTAGTATGCTCAAATTGTAATTACAAATGTAATTACATTTTTTAAGTTAGGAATTGGGATCGATTTTTTTTAGCCATGGCCTGCTAGTTGGATGTCGTCAGCTGTAGAGGCCTGGCAAAATTTATTGTGTGACTGAGTTATGAATCACAGATAAATCATCATCATCAATCATATGTTGAGATGGTTACTTATGGGCTTTATTTTAGATTTCAGCCTTTACCAGTACCCAATGTTGCGTGCAATTTATTCTTTTAACCCTTGTGCACCCCTAAGGACCGTTTTGGTCCTTCGTAACTATACTTTTGTGGATAATTTTGGCTGTGATGTTGCAAATGGCATGAAAGTTTGTCAAAGTGTGCAATTTTAGGTGCAATTTATTTTTTTTACTTTTTTCTTCCTTTGACCTTTTTTGCATGTGAGCAATTTTTATACTTCAGTTAACACCCCTAAGGACCGAAACTGTCCCATTGACTCCCATTAAAACATGTTTTCTTCAATACACTGCCAATGCAGTATAATTTTTGGAAAAAAAATTTTTCTCATGTACACCTATTCTTTGAGGGTCAAACTGTTTTTTTTTTTATGCCGACCAGCAGATGGCGCCATTTTTCTTTTTTCCTGCCATACCCTTTAGAACCAGAGGGGCACTGTTTTCCCTTTGTCACAGAGCTGGTTTATTTCATGCATATAGATAGATAGATTGATAGATATATAATTTATTGACCCCAAACTGGAAAATTCTCATGTTACAGCAGCAAAAAAATACAAAATAGAATTAAATATAAGAAGAAATATGTACAATGCAGACTAAAAATACTAAATATATACATTGAATACAGGCTAAATATACTAAACATCTTTAGAGAGAAAATAAATTTAATAAAAACTATTTAGGTGTGCTTTAGGGACATCATGGATTATGTGCATGTGTTTTCATGAATTACTTATGTGTGTGTGTGTGTGTGTGTGTGTGTGTGTGTGTGTGTGTGTGTGTGTGTGTGTGTGCATATGCAGCCATGAGAATAGCCAAAATCCTTCCAGAAACAGCGGCAGTTGTACAATCTGCACCTGCAGTTTCCTTCTGTGTGTCTGTGTGTGTGTGTGTGTGTGTGTGTCTGATTGTGTGTGTGTGATTGTGTGTCTGATTGTATGTGTGTGCGCACGTGTGTGAGCAAGCTCATGAGGTTCATAGCGGGCACCTGATCAATGTGAGTGCGTAAAAGCATGCAAGGAAGGGATGGAGTGTGTGTGTGTGTGTGTGTGTGTGTGTGTGTGTGTGTGTGTGTGTGTGTGTGTGTGTGTGTGTGTGTGTGTGTGTGTGTGTGTGTGTGTGTGAGATTGTGTGTGCGAGCGTGTGTGCGTGTGTAAGCGCACGCACGAGGTTCATAGCTGGCACCCATGAATGGTGTGTGTGTGTGTGTGTGTGTGTCTGATTGTTTGTGTGTGTGTGTGTGTGTGTGTGTGTGTCTGATTGTTTGTGTGTGTGTGTTTGTGTGTCTGATTGTTTGTGTGTGTGTGTGTGTGAGCGAGCGCATGAGGTTCATAGCAGGCACCTGATCGATGTGCGTGCGTAAAAGCAAGCAAGGTATGGATGGTGTGTGTATGTGTGTGTGTTTGAGATTGTGTGTGAGATTGTGTGTGCGTGCATGCATGTGTGAGCGCACGCACAAGGTTCATAGCGGGCACCTGAAGAGGGAGGATGTCATCGATGTGCGTGCATAAAAGCAAGAGATGGATGGATGGATGGATGGTGTGTGTGTGTGTGTGTGTGTGTGTGTGTGTGTGTGTGTGTGTTATACACTACAGAAAAAAAAAAAATCTTTTCAAATCAATTTTCTCATCAATGTTTACCAATCCCATGCTCTTATAATCAAAAGTTTAAAAAAACAATTGAATTGGAAAATAATTCATCAAGTCTGTTTTTTGACTTAAGATAATATCAGGTTTTTACAAAAAAGACTGACATTTATGGGGTTAAAATACAAAACCTGAATAAAGTTTTGCTATTTATGATTAGGTTATAAGTCAATGATGGCAGCCAAAAAAAAAAAAAATTAAATATATTTATTTAGACAATATTTCTACTGCAGCAAAATGGAGGGGACTGTTTCGGTCCTTAGGGGTGTTAATAGAAGTTTTTGTTATTATTCAACAGTACAGAAAAAATACAAATCCTTTCAAATCAATTTTCTCATCAATGTTTACCAATCCCATGCTCTAATAATCAAAAGTTTAAAAAAACAATTTGCATTTATAGGATGGAAAATAATTCACTAATTGTGTTTTTTGACTTATAATAATATCAGGTTTTTACAAAAAAGACTGGCATTTATGGGGTTAAAATACAAAACCTGAATAAAGTTTTGCTATTTATGATTAGGTTATAAGTCAATGATGGCAGCCAAAAAAAAAAAAATTTAAATATATTTATTTAGACCATATTTCTACTGCAGCAAAATGGAGGGGACCGTTTCGGTCCTTAGGGGTGTTAATTGAAGTTTTTATTATTATTCAACACTACAGAAAAAATACAAATCCTTTCAAATCAATTTTCTCATCAATGTTTACCAATCCCATGCTCTAATAATCAAAAGTTTAAAAAAACAATTTGCATTTATAGGATGGAAAATAATTCACTAATTGTGTTTTTTGACTTAAAATAATATCAGGTTTTTACAAAAAAGACTGTCATTTATTGGGTTAAAATACAAAACCTGAATAAAGTTTTGATATTTATGATTAGGTTATAAGTCAATGATGGCAGCCAAAAAAAAAAAAATTAAATATATTTATTTAGACCATATTTCTACTGCAGCAAAATGGAGGGGACCGTTTCGGTCCTTAGGGGTGTTAATTGAAGTTTTTCTTAGGGGTGCACAAGGGTTAAGACTAACATAAGGGCTATGTAATTTGATTTCTGCTTATGTATACCAGGGGATGATAGAATAAAGAGACCGCTACTTCTTAAATCCTGTCAGCATTTAAGGCATATGTTTAACATGGAAAAATGTTATGCAGGCCATGCTGCAAAACCAAAACATTGCACAATTGTTTAAACAGCTTGTAACACCTGTTACTTACCACTTTATTGTATTATTTTCTCTTATTAAAAAGTAACACCCGTTACCAAACTTGTCTTATTTCACTTTTATTTGTCATCCGGCCACTAAATATACGTACGTGACTTTGACGTGTACACAGTAATCCAATAAGAGCTGCAAATGTTGACTTTTTTCGGTTAATTTTAATATTTACCTCTTAAATGCGCGCTCACTGCAGTCTGTCCCGTTGAAGAGCATGGACAGTGCAGGCTGCGCTTGGAACTATGGAGGGGTACATGAACCACGTGACCGCTCCGGCAGCGAGATCTGAAGTTGTCCCCACTCTGTTTAATCCACTGCTCTGGTCGCACCCAGTCGCCTTCCCAATCACACACATCCAAATTTGAGCACATACACACCCACAGAGGAAGAAAAAAAAGAAAGAAAGTAACAATAATAATAAAATAAAACAAGTCCAATATAAGTCCATGGGAGATGTAGAAAAAAAAAGTAACAATAACATAAAATAAAACAAGTCCAATATAAGTCCATGGGAGATGTAGATGAGGAATATGAGTGTAACAGAAGGTCAGGCATCAGCCTTAGCCAAAAAGGTAGTAATATACCTACATAGTATGTAGCAGGGCTGTTCCATATAGGCATACACCTACTCACCACCACCAGGCCGGGCTCTTCAAGGGCAAAAAGGACGTCTATAAAATAAATCTGGGCCACCAATGAATGTTCTTGTTGTCTATGCAGTTTCATATTTCTCCAAGTCTTTGAGGTCCCGGATTAGCAGGACCTTCGCCTCCTCACCATGTGAACCACTTGTGCGAATCCAGATTTTGCAATCCCTTGTCCATGTTGAATGGATTTTCTTTTGTTTCTTCAGTGCCTTTGCATGTTTGGCTATCTCAGCATTCCTTTTCGTAAGATGTTCATTCACATACACCTGTGTGTTCTTCAGTTTCCTTCCTTGTTTCAAAAGCTACATTTTGTTTTTTCTGTTTACAAATCTTAAAATAATGGTTCGTTCCATTTGTCAATTTCTTTTGGGAAGTGTATGGCAAGCAGCGATACTCTCCTTTTGTATGGAAATGACATTTCTGTTGAAGAACTGGATCCCTTGTTCCTCCAGCGTCTGTTGTTCTCCCTCAGTCAGGTCCCCCTCACTGCTCTCCCCTCGGATGACATTGGAGTAGGTGCGGTGTGTTGTTTTCAGGCCACTAATGATCACATCTTCTTTTCTTGTATATTGCTCCAGCTCATCAAGTCTTTTCTGCAGTTCTGCAATCTTCTCATCCTTCTGTGCAAGGAGGTTGTTTTGTTTCCTCACATCTTCAACCAAACCACTTATTTTGCCCACATTTTCTGCCATTCCATCAATTTTCCTCTCCAGTTCTTTCAGGGCTTTCTTGATCTCCTCCATTTTAGGTTTGGCTGGTGTTTCACAATATTGACATGTGTATCAAAAGTGCCCAAAACATCAAAAATAATTGAAAATAAACACACCAATTGAATCTCAGTGACCACGTAAAGCCATAAACTTCACTTAGCTACTTAGATGTCAAGTCATTTTCATGATTTTTGATGGATTGTTAGAGCCAAACACATAGTGCTCCAGCAATATCATCAGCAGCCATCTTGTAGATAGATGCATATAGCATCGTTTTGTTCCTTTATTATGGCCTTTTGAAGGCTGTTTTCTTTTATTCCTTTTCTTTTTTTCCTCTTCACTTGTCTCGGTGCTAGATGCGCTCATCGCCATGTTTGTGTTGTTCTGATACTATGGCAACAAGACTCAGCTCCAGTTGGTCCACGTGACGAAAATCGCTTCACCCTTTGCATATTTGATTGCGCGTGTGCAAGTATCACTACGCCGCAGAAAGGAAATAGTTCAACACCGAAACACTGATTACTAAAAATCGACTGGATGGCATGAGTAGATTTTTTTTTTTTTTTAGTATTTACTGTTGTGACAGCCGGGAGCAGGGTTGACGGAGAATGGAATTATGAAGAAGATATAGTAAAATACTATAACAACTGTTTACCAATTAGCTCAGGAGGTAGAGCGGCCGTCCGATAACCGGAAGGTTGGCGGTTCGATTCCCCCCTATCCCAAGTCTGTCCGTTGTGTCCTTGGGTAAGACACTTAACCCACCTTGCTCCCAGTGTGTGTCCTCCACTGGTGTATGATTGTGAGTGTTGTGTGGTGGTGGTCGGAGAGGCCGTAGGCGCAAAATGGCAGCCACGTTTCCGTCAGTCTACCCCAGGGCAGCTGTGACTACGTAGGTAGTTTACCACCACCAAAGTGTGACTGTGTGAGTGAATGAATGATGTATCTATCCAATGTAAAGCGCTTTGAGGGTCTCTGATAAAGCGCTATATGAAATCTGATGCATTATTATTATTACTGATTACCAACTACGAAATTGATTTTGTTGCCAACAATGCCACCCCAGGAATTTCACCTGGAGAGTAGAATTACCTCTTAATGTAGTGTAAGGGCACACACAGGTTCGTCTGCCAGGGAAGACGGGAGTCCGTGGTCCAGTGTACAAATACCTTTGACTTTTATTTAACAATTTCACCAATAAACAAAGTCAATAAGATATTTTTTACTCATTCATCCACACTCATTCACACACAAACACACACACTTCTCTAAACCACAGCAACAATATTGCCAATAAAATTGATGTGCAATTAGCAAATTTTGGTTAAATCAGATTTTAACCACAAATACAAAAGAAAGAAAACTAGCAAGCAGAGAAAAGAAAATAACTCAACCGTATTTAGAAATGACCAAACCAAACAAAAATGCTAATAAACCAAATACTAATAACTAACAAAAAAATAATAATAATCAAACCGAAGAAACTAAACATACAAACTCTCAAATCACAAAATAATAACAAATGATTTAAACCATAATAGGCTAAATGCCAACAAAATGAGGAAGCTGAGGCATCAGGTTACCTAAAATTTAGTCCACAGGGTGATGACGTCACCTCACAATAAGCAGGACGCCACCCATTCAAAGTTGGATGGCGAAAGTGACAGCCTTTCCAAAGTTTAGGGCAGCCGACACGGCTCACACACAAAACCTATTGTGAGAGAAATATAATTTAGCACTACGGCTTAATAATAATAGCATGAGTTGCAGTCATTTAAACACATACCGTCAGAAGGTTGAATGAACCTCATGAGGGTGAGGGAACGAGGCACCTGCAACGCTGCAGCGCATCAATCAATCGGCCACTCAGCCAGTGGCATTCCTAAGCAACTTGGCACCCTAGGCAGGATTTCTGGTAGCAATAATAAATAATAAATAATAAATAATAATAAATTGCAATATTAATAAGGTAATAGTACAAAATACAATGTTATAGAAAAATACAAACACAACAAATTACAAATAGTAAAGTATGTAAACTAGAAAGAGCGCAAATATTCAGTGCAATATGCATATGTAGTAATTGTACTACAATAAACAGGGCCATATACAAAATACCCTGGACAACCTCAATCTAGCCCACAACATCCTCAAAGGAAAACAAAATGGCTAAAAAACACAGCAGCATTGTAATTAAATCTCAGTCAAGGAAACAAGTGGCAAATATATGTGAAATATCTTAATGATGAGTCAGTCAGTCATCATTAATTTAACAGATAATTTAGTGTAAATCATTAGTCTGTACAGCTCAAAAAAGAAAGGAAAAAAGAGGAAGAAAAGCCAATACGGCAGGTGTTATGCCGTAGAATGCACCCCCGCCATACAGTAGAATGCATCCCATTCACTTATTAGCTTCTGTAAGTGGAAAAAAATGATCTCATATTTAAAAAAAACACGAGTATTGGATCATGACAACATGTCAAATGGAGCAGCAAACTTTCGTTCTGTTTTTAGGTATTTAAAAAATGCACATACAGAGGTGTACTTGGGTATATACACTGTACAGTAAACTGTTAAGGTAGAGAACATTATATTTTCGGGGCAGCAAATATTCAGAATCAGAGGGCTATTGTCTTTGGCATATCTGAATAGCCTGAATGAAATCATTAAAGGCACATGCTTTAGAATCAGTCCAATGTTAAGGAAAACTTGGATTATTTCGCCTTGTTGTGTACTTTCAACTGCGCTCCCTTCGGGGGGGCATTCCACGGCAGGGGTGCATTCTATGGCACAACACCGGCCGCGGGAACGGGGTCTTAATAAATCCCCCTTAAATCTGTAAATCTGTGACTTCAACTAAAACATCAGCAAATGGCTTGACACAAACGATTTGCTAAGCTAGTATGTTGTGTTTTTGATCTGCATTCTGCAAGATGCTGGACCGCCATGATCTGACGACTTTGAATGAATTGAAAGTCAAGACTCGTCTCGACTTTTCACTTTGGAGAAGTCAAGCACTGAGGCATTATGCCTCGGCGAGAAAGCATGTTGTTGCCTAACAGCTGAGGCATTAAGCCATGATGATAATTGACACTGCTCTGCCTGGCCTGCCTTGGCTTATTATTGCCTTGTTGGCTGTGCTTGGTGTGGTCTCTCTGTGTGGAGAACTGGTGGTGACGATGCATAAGCCGCGGCGGCGGCACTGCAGGTGTGTTGTGTTACAAGTTACCTGGCTGTAACTAGTTGAGTTAAACAGAGAGCGAGTTACCAACCCAATTTACCTCAGAAGCAAGCGCAGTACGACTACGAGGAGAGAGCAGGGGGGCGGGGAGGAGTCGTGTCCTGTGTGCAATCCATTGGGGACCGTGGCGAAATTGCAGGCAGGTTGCAGGCAGACAGACACTTAAGCCCAAATATATAAATGATTTAGCCATTGTTTAAAGACTTTACGACTGTATGTACTGTTGTTAGATTGCTGTGTTTTTGTTGTTGTTTTATATTGCAAAATAAAAAGTATTTATTAAAAAAAAAATCTTCTCCCCTCCCTGGCGCCCTTTCTGCTCGCAGGCGCCCCTCGCAGCCTCCTACTCCGCCTAATGACAGGAGCGCCACTGCACTCAGCTGATCACCCCCAGCTGTGTGGGGATGTGGGAACACACACTCTTGGTCCCACAATCGGTTCAATGCGGGAGAGAAAAGACCCAGTGAGGAACTGTTGGAGACAAAAGCCAACCCTGACAGCAACCGCAAAACTTTTAAAGCAATACAATAAAGTATGTGATTAACATACCAAGAGAAGCGAGCTGAGCACACAGCGCAATCCGGCAGCCAGGTGATCAGGTGAGGTGACCAGGTGTTGTGATTAATGGAGAGAGCAGGGCTGATGAGAGCTCTGAGCAGAGGGAGAGGGCTCTCAGGGAGCAAGCACCCACATTTAAAGACTGCGCCCTCCGAAGGCATAGGCCAAGACAGCAGCCTAATTAAGGTGCAGCTGGGCTGTCGGCCCATACTGCCACACTATCAATAGAGCTATTTTATGAATCACAGTTTATATTGCACCACTAAAGTGGAACAAACCTACACGATCTCACTCAGCCAATACAGCCTATAATTTTAACAACTCTCCTTTGAAATAACAGGTAACCTTACTTTATTCTCATAAATTAATTACTTTATTCTCGTAAATTCAAGACTTAAATCTCAAAGTCTTAAAAAAAATCTCAATATGGCCCATACTCCATACAAAACATGCAATCACTGGATGAATTTTGTGGAAATGATCTGTGCTTGTATGGGACTATTGTTTTGTGTCTGTGCAAGGTCGCACAGTTAAAAAATAACTGCTGCACTACGCGGCTTTTCTTCAAGTCAGTCTTGACGCGAGCCTGACGGCAGGGACATTTGGCGACTTAACCAAGAAGTCCTCCGAAGGGTAGTCTGTCCCATTTCACAAAAACCGGACCAGCCTTAGGCTGTGGCTGTGTCCGAAATGGCATACTACTCGTACTACTCATACTAACCCCGCCCCCGAATTGAGTAGGCAGTGCGTTCACACTGTACAGTATGCGAATTTTGTGTATGTGAGAAATGCCCGGATGTATACTCAATCGGCTTTGATTTCTGCGTATGGAGCAGAGTTTGTTTCACGTACTGCTTCTGCCCCACAATGCATTGCGCACTTCAGCTGGCAATATGGCCTTCTTTCCTGAGGCTGAAAAAGAAATAGATGGCATATGATTGCAATAATAATGATATATATATATAAATAGATAAACAATCTTTCGTCAGTATACATTACACTTTTTTTTTAATCATTTTATCATATTTTAATCTTTTTACCAGATTTAGATGTAGATGTAACACAATATTCTTTAGTTTATTTTCATCCGCCAAAGTTAGCATTTATGTGACACCACAGCTAACGTTAGCAGGTAGCTGATAGCCTTGTTGATTCGTACTACCATTACATGTTTTTTATACTTATTTTATTTAATTCATTCAAAAAAGCTTAGAAGTGAAGTTTTCCTCTATGAATCGGTTACTTCTCATGTCTTACTAGCTACCCCTTGAATGTAACGTTAGCTACTTACCAACATCAGCTTTAAACCGCTCGTGCTGGGTTTTGAGCGCAACGTTAGCATTCTGAAGCTCCGTTACAAACTTCTCCAACTTGTTCAGGGTGCTTTTCGGTAGTTTGTTTAACTCTGTCCGCTCCAGAACCTGCAACAGGACAGCCGCCATCTCCACCTGTGTGCCCTAAAAACTTCAGAACATAAACTGAAGGTTAAATTTGTGTCTTCTTTCGTTATCCTTTCTCACACCTCCGATAGACTTCTTTTTTATGTCTTTGACTATTGGAAACCAGCTTAAACGTCCCATCACTGCCTCCTACTGGGCTGGAGTGTAGAATAAATCAAGAAAAATGTGAGAGGGACCCAGATGCAGCCAAGATGGTGGACGATGGCTGTGTCCGAAATGGCATACTACTCGTACTACTCCTACTAACCCCGCCTCTGAATTGAGTAGGCAGTGCGTTCACACTGTACAGTATGCGAATTTTGTGTATGCGAGAAATGCCCGGATGTATACTCAATCGGCTTCGATTTCTGAGTGTGGAACGGAGCTTGCTTCACGTACTGCTTCTGCCCCACAATGCATTGCGCACCTCAGCTGGTAATATGGCCTTCTTTCCCGAGGCTGAAAAGAAATAGATGGCATATGATTGCAATAATATTTATATATATATATAAATAGATAAACAATATTTAGTCAGTATACATTACACAATTTTTATCATTTTATCATATTTTTATCTTTTTAACAGATTTATTTGTATTTTAAATTAGGATTATAGGTAATGTTTTTAACTATTCGTATGAATTGACTTTATTTATTTAAGTGTCTATTAAAGATGTATTTATTACATCAAGTTTGAGCATCTTCTCATCTCTGAATGCATCATCAAAGTGGTCACTCATATTAAGCACAGACCTCTAATTAATAAAAAATATTATTGGTAAAGAGCACATGGTTCAGAACATACAAACGGGGGAGTTTCCAGTTGACAATGTATATGTGAGCTTTACTAATTCTTAGTTGTGGTTGAAAATCCATTAGGAAGTACATAGCTGCCCTGAAGAAAAGATGCCTTTGTCTTCTTGCATGGCGGCGCTCTATGGTTTTCAGCCGACACCAGGCAGAACTACCTGATGGTTTCTGCAATTATCATTGTACATGGAAAGAATGTAGTTGGGAAATGATGTATTTGCCAAGGAATAACCGAACAAGGTCATAATAATTATGTTGTGTGTTGGTCATTTTGCAGCCCTATGCTGCTCATCACACGCCCAGCAGGTGGTGTATAGCATTATCACCATGGATACACGTGTTTGTGTTATTTTTTTTTATCCACTGCCACTCGATTTGTGTCGCGTAGTTATTGATTATGAAAACACCTGCAATAATTTGGAAACGTGAAGGGGGAGCTGCTGCTGCCCGGTGTTTATGGTAAATAGACGCAAACACCCACCAAGCAGACGCTTCGGTCCCCGAAAATGCAGAGACAAATTTACAAACAGCCGCTATTTCAAACAACTGGGCTCATAATCGTGATGTAAACACTTACTTTCTCGCTAGAAAAAATATTATTACTGAATGCAGTCATTTTGTGTAGCTTGTGGTAGGACTGTTTCAATTTTCCCTGCGCTGTGTCCGGCCGGCACGAAATGCATTCTGGGGTATTTAGAATGCATCTGTATGTAATCGCTCGGGTAGCCGCGGCATACTCAAATCATCTTTGAGTATTCAGTATGCAGTATGTACTGATTGAGTAGGTAAGTAGACAGTAGGCAGTATGCCATTTCAGACACAGCACGAGTCTCATTTCAGAGACCGCATCAGGCTGAGCGCACTCAAGCGCGCTTAGCTGAGCGTACTGCCATTATTTTGACTGGAGTACCCTGAGTGAGATGATCCGTTTTTTGTGAAATGGGACAGACTACCCTTCGGAGGACTTCCTGGTTGAGTCGCCAAATGTCCCTGCCCTCAGGCTCACGTCACGACTGACCTGAAGAAAAGCTGCGGAGTGCAGCAGTTATTTTTTAACTGTGCGACCTTGCACAGACACAAAATAGTAGATACATACAAGCACAGATCATTACCACAAAATTCATCCAATGATTGCATGTTTTGTATGAAGGAGTATGAGGGCCATATAGAGAATTTTTTTTGAAGACTTTGAGATTTAAGTCGTGAATTTACGAGAATAAAGTCGTAAGGTTACCTGTTATTTCAAAAGAGAGTTGTTAAAATTAGGGCCATGGAGCATTTGAAGGAACTGGCTTCAGTATAGGTTTCACAAACATGGAGATACTTCATCCTTTGGCACATCAGCATTACACTGTCACAAGTATAAAGACTTAAAAAAGAATATATGAGAAATTCGTCTTTTCCACACAAAAAAAAACAAAACAAAACAGGTGGACTTGGAGGAAATCGCTGCTTTTGTGGAGGCAGAAATGCATATGCTGAGGATACATCCGTCAATGCAGCCGTAAATATCCGTGAATGACATTGAGCTTTAGTTTATGATATGAATCCATATTCCATAAAAAGGTGTTGGTGTCTCTGCAGGTGTAGGTTACCGCCGGTGTCAGAGACGTGGTTCTGGTTGGAGCTCGACTCCCTCTGGATCACAAATGTTGATCATCAGTTTGATTGTTTCTTCAGAAACCACAAAAACTCTCTGAATGACCCACTGATGCATCCACCAATAACCCTGCAGATGACCGGTTCCAGCCATTTCCCCTTCCACAAAAGCAGCTTTATGACTTTATTTCCTTTATGAATTTATTCTCCCAAGTATACAACTTTAATCTCTAAATCTTAAAAAAAAAAAAAAAAAACTCAATGTGTCAATGATACTCTGCTGTAGTTTTGTCAGCTTTCTTATTTCTAATGTTTTTGATTGTGGTAGCAGAGCGGATCCGTTTATCGTCTCCAAGCAAGTCCAACCTCTCACCTGAAATGTGCAGCTGTGCAGCAGCACGCAAAGAATTCTGGGATACCAACGTCACGAAAGCGTGTATAAATGCACGCTTGAAAAGGGGGCGGGGGTAGTGTGGTTTTGAGACCAAATTTTAAGCATGCTTAGCATTTTGTGCCAAATAGGACACCGTTTGCGCCGCATGATGACCTCACGCACGCTTCAAATGCGCTGTTCGATGGTGCGGTCTCTGAAATGAGACACGGCCTAAGTATTGACAGAAGCATTTAACCTCCACTACAGTAGGAGGCGACATGCCCCCTTTGGCTTGTTACTTTAAGGTCGACTCCCAGTTGATTTATTACGTATTAAATTAATCAACAAAGCTCGTCAGCAAGGGGTGACAGTTTGTATGCCAGGAGAGTTTAGTCTTTCTCTACGTCCCCTCTTTGTTCATCAAGGTTGGGTTTTTTTTGTTTGATTTTTTTTTTAATCTTCCCAATCACACGTGTGCTATTTAACATCTGTTTTATAAACACGGGAGCATGCGTCAATTGTTTCAGCCATGTTTAATCCAACTGGGCTTTAAACATGAGGGGTGGGAATCACCTGTGGCCCCACTATACGATATTATCACGATACTTGGGCTATGATATGATATTGTTGTGATTTTTTTACATTTTGCAATACAGTGATGATTGTGATACAATATATTCAGCTTTATACAGTTTTTTCAACAGTTTAGCTAATTTAGCATTTAGCTATCCTTTATGTTTGTCCTATTTACATAGTATTTTATTTTCATGTTGACATCTTGCAAACCTTATATATATTTGTTGTACTTACTTTCTCCTGCTCTATGATGTCACCTCTGCCAACCTCACTGGACAAACAGTTGATTTTATTT